CTAATATCGACACACGTGGCATGTCCACGATATACACACTAGTGTCGAGTGATAAGTTGGAGACCACGGTACCAACAAACACCGCCCTGGTCAGTGTCAAACGGGTACATTGTGTACAGTGAGCCAGTGCAAACATGGCGGCGAGGTCAGGGCGTGGACAACTGCTCATTTACAACGTGTCTGTCACTCGAGTATGTAACGCGACAGAAATAACCTCCTTGACGTCACATTGACCCCAATTCAATATATTCGTGACAAACGCATGATGAATTTGAAAACAGTATGAATATACGTCTCCTTGAAATTTTGGTTGATCTTAACAAAGTGTCAATCAAGTTTCCATATTTCGACAATTTACAGGAAAAATAAATAAAAATACGGCATTTTATCTTTCACTTTGAATTATGACGTCATTTCATTGTTATTTGTGACGTCACATTGTGTTATTAAACATGTATGGTATAGTGACGTTATTACACTTTTTGCAGTCTACATCACCAACAAGAGTCTGTTACCTTATAGCCACAATTCCTCACTGCAGCGTAACCACACACTCAGGAAGATAAAACGCTGCGGCTGCATTTATCGTTTGTTAAGGTTCATGTAAACACTAATAATTGACCTTCAGGTCCCTTTATTTCATGTGTAAATATTACATTTATTACAAGCTGTGCTGAATTGTCGTTTTCAATATTAGAAGTTATTAATTCAAACCCCCTATAGCCATGATTGAACGGTTGCCACGCTCTTAATAAATAGTGTTATTTGAAATATAGATGAGTGACTGGTGAATATTTTGCCACTATTTGAGGGAAAAATTAGAACTCATAACCTATTCATGTTTGAGAATTGAAACTTTGGCAAAAATAAGATATTATATACAGTGATGTACTCCTATGAACTAAATTATGTTTAAACCTCCATAGATGGATTTAGGTTAAATCGAAAGTCATCGTGTTGTCCAATGGAGGCCGCCATTTTTATTATTTTTGCTGTCAAAAAATGGTGATTATTTCCGTCACAATCACAAGCGATCGGTGCGTCCATAAAACACCAAATGACACGAAATAGACTGCGTTGACATCGAATGAACCATAAATAACTAGCACAGGTCGTAATCAGGTCTTTTGTCCATATTCAGACCAACTTTCTTCCTCTCCGTTTGATTAACGTTCCAGACGACATGGCGATATCGCTCCGCAGTTAATTTACAAAAATGACAATTCTTCCTGTCATAGTTATCAAAACAAGAGTATAATTTCTTAAATAATAAAATACTGTTGATTCCGAATTGAATTACACAAATGTAGGAGTATTACTACAGAAAAAAGAAATCATAATATCTAAGATCGGACTGTTTGTGCGGCGTCACTTCCGGCAATGTGCATCAGACGTCAACACCATGAAGCTGAGGAGAAAACGCTGAGATGCTGAAGATCGACAATGTTTATTTGTTGTAAGTATGGTTTGTGGGATAAAATACACTTGTAATTTACATAAAGTAAACATAGATAATGTATTGCTTGAGTCGATGTCCTTGTAAGACGAGATGTGTGTGTTGTATTTTGACAAGTGACACAAACAGGAAATGCGAAATGTAGGCAAAAATAGTTTGACCAAAAAGTTTTTGGCACATTTTGGTCAATGCATATGTTCTTTGTTGTGAAATTGAATGGATTTTTTTTGAAAACCGATTATTTATATTAATGTTTGAAGTGTCAATAAAAAGTAAACAATTTATGGAAGCATGGAAGAAGCACATGTGTCAAATTAGTGTCTACTGCATTGAACTTCAGTGAAGCAGCACTCAAAAAGGCGCCATTACTATGCTATGTCAAAAGAGATTAGTCTGCAAAGAATCTGAATGTGATTTCTTTTTATAAATATTGAATACCAATTAATTAACACTAATGATAACTTTTAATTTATTTTATAACACAGGTGTGCAGCACAATTAATTGAAACCATAGAAGCACATGTCAAATAACAACATTGCCGTGAACATATGAGGAGGAAGCTCTAAAGACCCACAAAGTCCAAAGTGTTTACATCTGCATGTAATGTACTGGGAATAGATGCTCGTCAACCTCAATGCATGTTTATATTGCGTCCTGTCATCTTGCCTTTGGTAGTGTGGTCATGGAGGTGTAGCAATGGTAGCACTGAACTCGTACAGACCATCTCGACGAATTGAAGCCTCATCCAGAAGTTCCTTGTAGGTAAAACATCATTGCACTAGATTTATTTATCTACCCAGATACCAAAACATTGTCATCTGGTCCAAATGTTGCCAGGTAAAAGAAAATGAATGGTATATTGAATGTAGGGCCATGACAAGTGAATATTCAAAACACTTGGGAATTGACATTTCACTTGCGATGGCCTCGCGGTTTTTTCATGACACATCATTAAGATACATTTGTGAAATTTCTTCTGGATATTAAAAAGTTTTTACGAAATATCAAGATACTTTTTTTTAACACCTAGCTTTGTTATTGTCTATTCTAGAAAATGCACGAACAACATTGAATGAAATTTGTGTGACGACTCATTTTCCACCAGAGGACATATCACACAAAGTGGCAATCTACAACTGTACAGTACTCAGTTTTATAGGAATGATGGATTTGATGATGCAGTGTATAGAAATCTCTATGAAGGGGATGACAAAATAAGGTTTACAGAATTGACTATTTGCAGGATTACTTGGTTGCCTGACAGTTACCCCATCATTGTGTGTTTGCAAATATTGGTAGCTACAATTATGATATGGTGATATCCGATGGGATGATGTTGTCGTGGTATCTTCCTCACCAAGCAAAATACATCTAAGCTTTTTTTCACATCTGCATCTACATGTAAAGCAATATTATGAAGTTTGTACACTCGCGTGTGATGTACTGGAGCACCCAAATCGTACCAGAGTAGCCCATGGCGAAAGTAAAACTTGACTGATTTAGTTGGCCGAAGTATTGCAGAGAATAGTGTTTACGGATATGTAAATTGGTAAATATGCCAATGTCTTGATTACGTTGGAAGAAATGTGATTATTCCAAAAGCTTCAATAATGATGAACGGTGATCAAGTTAAAATTTGACACATGATCCAACCGCTAAAATGATAGCACAATACCTCAACTTGAAATCTTATGTATGGAATTTATGTCAATGTCATTAAAGAATTGGTATTTCTTTTTATTTAAAAATTACAAATATACTTAATAACTTAATCGCCACCCTACTATTCCGTTGACATAAAATAAGGTGACACTGGGTTTCAAACCATAACATACATATCATGCATTATTTTTCGGTTAAAAAGATGGTTTTAGAAAAATTCGATGTTTGGTACATGTATTACACTACATGGGCCTCCATAGTTTTAAAAAAGTAGTTCCAATATGGCTGATTTTTTATGGTGAAATTAACTAATGACTTGACTTTGAAGTTGTGATTATCAGTCATTTGGAGCAGTTTCATTAACTTTTAACAATCCCACTACCTAAAATGAGGTCTAAGGAAGATCTTGACTGATATTTCCTTGCAAATCGAATCTGTTTTTTTGTAGACATGTTATTTCCTGCATAACGTGTAATTAATGCAATTAAAACAATATTAACGAACTGAACTTAACTGAAAGCTAATACATACTTTTACTCATATCCTAAGGATCGTAGTGATACCAAAATAAGGGCTATCGAGGTAAAATTCAAGAAATTATGACCTTTTGTAACTTTGTTGAAAACAGACTTTACATGAACCTTAAGTTAGGTTTATGGGTTTAGTGTCTTATCAAATATGTAATAGCTTTGGCTAGTTCATGCCGCAGTTCCCTGGTACAATGTATGGTCATTTGCTGCAGGAGTTACTAAGTATATTTGCCCCCTTTCGATAGCGCGGATCTGATGCCGACTATATAGTGCTTCATCACAGCAATCCTATGCGAACAACACAAAGCATAGTTTTCCATCCAGTCGCATTTTACCGTCTACCCCCAAACGCTAAGCGTTAAGGTGGGAATAACAACTACCAGTTTAAGGATATATGCCTTCTGAAACATTTGTACATGTAAGTACATTTTTGAGAGAACATCTCAACGTGCTATTGATACATTCATTGTGGTGTAAACATTAATCGTTTTGATATTCGGGTAGATACGCAATGCGTTTAGCTAAAGCCTGAATGAATTGCAATTATTGATGGAGATATTAAATGGACTAATTATTACTGTAAATATAAACAACATTTTTTCAACTTTTGTTCAGATTATGAGGGGATAATTTCATTGATAACGAGGAAGTTGAATACACATACAGCGAAGTAAAATCCATATGCATCATAAGTCAACTGGACTTATCACCTCATTACTGATAATAAAGGAAAACTATTCCTGAAACATACTAATCAGACGATATATGGATTATAGTATTTAACACATTAAGTCAATGTCAAGTATATATATATATATATAAAAGATTCAGTTTGCGTGGGATCGTATTTATCCGATCGACACATTTTTTGAGCTGTTAAAGGTTACAGTCGTAGGAACATATACATATATAAACATTATTGAAGATACAGAAATTACTCTAATTTTTCCAATTGATATCAGTCACTCGTATTGACCCGGGTGGAATTGCACATAGATTTTTAACGTGGGAATTAAGGAACCGGAGTTCCCGGAGACAACCCGCGTCGTCCGGCAGGTGACCTATATTTGTTTCACGATTAGGGAATCAAATTCCGGCCATCTAAGTGAAAGGCTCAAGCGCTATCCAATACGCCACACTACGCTGTAAGAACAAGTTGGAACCACCGAACATACCAAATGAATCATGTAATGATGCCGACGACTCTTGAGTTTAAAAAATATTCTTCATCCGTCACATACATTTATATACAGAATAATATTCCAGTGGCAAATAGTGTAGGCCTATTTAGATGTATGTATTTCACGCCATTGATTTCATCTCAAAGTTTGTATGTTTGTAATGAACTTACCATAGAGCATTACAGTAGTCATAAAATGAGGCTTGGGCTATTGACTGAGTGTTGTCTGACTTCTTCTCCATTGTGGACGCAGCCACGCTGTAGCCTTGCATGATGGCCAGAGTCAGGAGTAGGTACATACACGAAGCCATAACAGTGGACTGAAATATAACAGGAAATAGCATTATAATTCAGAATAAACTCGCTAAAACAGAACGTCAAAACGTCAATAGAATGGTTCAATGAATATATGTAAACAGTTTGACATTACAAACAACACAAACAGTCTAAAATATAAGCAGTGCAAATGACACAAGTAGTCCAATGATATTCAAAGTTCAACAAATAATATAAAAAAAAGTTAAGCAACGTAAATAGTCAAATATTATTAAAAAAAGTTTAACAACGCATATCGCCCAATACTATTCAAAGTTCAACAATTCATATAGTCTAAAAATATCCAAAGTTAGCAGCGCATTAAACCCAAAAATATTCAAAGTTAACAGCGCATTAAACCCAAAAATATCCACAGTTACACAACGAAAATAATTGAATAATATCCAAAGTTCAGCAACGTATATTTTCCAATAATATCAAAGATTTAACAACACATAAAGTCCATTAAGAATACAATCTAAACAACACAAGAAGTCGAATGATATTAAAAATTAAACAGCGAAAATAGTTCAATAATATCAAAAGAACAACAAGGTACATGTATATACTCCAATAACATTTAAAGTTCAACAACGTATATAGTCCAAACATTCTAATAATACAGACATGTCAATTAATATGTCCAATAATGCAAATAGGCTATATAGTCCAATGACTTAAACAGTTCAATAACAAAAATACAGTCTAATGAACAAATAATAATAGCAACATCCTGTAACACAAATGTGGTATATCTGACAAAATGGTGTTGATATCAACATTAACTGCCATTGTAATAATAAAAAACAACAAAGTGAAGGAATACACAATGTGAAGCGGTAAAAACAAGATTTCCGACACGTATCGTGGTTATACCGTTGAATTTGTTTGTCCAATCCAAAAAGGTTAATTATATTTACCAATGTCATGTCAGTAAAATTCATAATATACGTTAGCAGCCGAACGTATTCATAAAAAAAATAAAAAAATATTACATTCACGTTAACTTTAATACAATCGCAAAGCTTTAAGTACTATAAATATTATATTAAGTGATGTAGTCGCGAAGATTATTGTAATTGTTTATACATTAATGGTTTTTATTAACTAACAGTGGCAGCACTCGTCCAATGTGGAGGCGGGGCTAGTGTTCATACCAGTGAACATTGTTTGACAGCTAGAATTGCACCTTCGTTAGAACCTTAACAAACTACGAGACGTGTTATAACATGTTTATCAATTTACGAGAAAAAAAGTAATTTAATGACGACATTTCCTTCTGACAAACCTTTCTGTGGCATGACCATTCAGTTTCTGAGATCAAGACTACTGCTTGTATTGATACAATGATGAAGGATTACGTAACGTTGCTTTTACAAATACTCATTTATTCCCAAGTGTTTTCATCTATAATACCGTGTCTGTAATAATCAAATTAAAATGCTTGTTATTCCTTCGATTCCCTATGCTAATCATTGTCTCAAAGGCAGCCGTTTTTACCGTGGGGAACTGCAGCTTCTGACCTCTATAGGAAGACCTCGCTCAATATCTTCTCTCCTCAATTTCAAAACCATTTCTGTACTTCTATCCGGTAGATTTTTGTCAATGAAATACATCTTAGCTTGATTCCAATCAAAGAAATATAGAATACAATGATCAGAGTACTTGGCCCTGTCGAGTTGTCTAATTAAGAGGGACACTTTCCAAAGGAGGATGGTCATATGACAGTTGCGTGTACAACAAATACATACGCCATCCTGTTGTACACAACCATGTGGCTGCATGCATACGAATATGTTACAGGTTTATTACAACACGAAAATGAGGGTATGCTTGTCTTGAGTGCGATTTAAAGAATTAATTAAGACTATGAAAAATGTGAACTCTACTTCCCACGCACGTGACATCCATCATCGCAATGACGCCTTCATTCCAGTATAAATCAGATCTACACTCGCCAGTGTGATACAGGGTGTGAGCACACGAATGTCACATGATATTAATGGTATTGCAAGCAGGCCATCATGCTTTCAACTTTTGTCGCAAATGCCAAATGACAAGGCCTTGTGCTCACGGCAATGTCGGGAGTAATCAGGGATAGACCATAACATAAACCAGTCTATTTTATCATAATTTCAAGTATATGATGTACTTCATCATTGCTTTTCTTGTGCAAATCATTTTGTGGTAATGCTGTGACGATTATGAGCTGTTTTTCTGCTCGTTTGATATGTCTTTGTGGCATAAAGTGTACTTAACGTCAGCTTCACGCTGTATTTAAATGACCATTAATTGTTAGATTAGTCCCCTTCCATTGCTACTTAACGCCTCCTGCAAGCTTTTACGATTTAACTTGAAATCAATTTTTTCTCACCTTTCAGTCCAGTATTTGATTTGAACATAGTTTTTACGTATCATTATATTAATCACCAGGATTTCCACATCATATAGTTGGTAGGTGATAAAGCTATCAGTCAATGACCAATTTTAAACTTGTCTTGAAAGGCGCATTATTTCAAGAAGTATGTTTGGCCCATCCATACAAAAAGGACATAACCACGCAGTATGTACTGACCCATCCCTAAAGAAAGGATAGACACGCAGTATGTACTGGTCCATCCATACGGCAATGACAGAACCACACAGTATGTACTGACCCATCCCTAAAGAAAGGATAGACACGCAGTATGTACTGGCCCATCCATACGGCAAGGACAGAACCACACAGTATGAACTGACCCATCCCTACAGAAAAGACAGAACCGCACAGTATGTACTGACCCTCAATACAGAAAGGATAGAGCCACACAGTATGCACTGACCCATCACTAAAGAAAGGATAGACACGCAGTATGTACTGGCCAATCCATACGGCAAGGACAGAACCACACAGTATGTACTGACCCATCCCTAACGAAAGGATAGAACCACACAGTATGTACTGGCCCATCCTTACAGAAAGGACAGAACCACACAGTATGTACTGGTCCCTCCCTACAGAAAGGATAGACCCACACCGTATGTACTGGCCCATCTATACAGAAAGGATAGAACCACACAGTATGTACTGGCCCATCAATACAGAAAGGACAGAACCACACCGTATGTACTGGCCCACCCATACAGAAAGGACAGAACCACACCGTATGTACTGGCCCATCCATACAGAAAGGACAGAACCACACAGTACATTGTATGTACTGGCCCCTCCCTACAGAAAGGATAGAGCCACGCAGTATGTACTGACCCATCCCTAAAGAAAGGATAGAGCCATGCAGTATGTACTGGCCCATCCCTACAGAAAGGACAGAACCACACAGTATGTACTGGCCCCTCCCTACAGAAAGGATAACCCCACAGTATGTACTGGCCCACCCATACAGAAAGGATAGAGCCACACAGTATGTACTGGCCCATCCCTACAGAAAGGATAGAACCACACAGTATGTACTGGCCTATCCCTACAGAAAGGCTAGAACCACACAGTATGCACTGGCCCCCCCCTACAGAAAGGTTTGCCACGCAGTATGTACTGATCCATCCCTAAAGAAAGGATAGAACCACAAAGTATGTACTGGCCCATCTATACAGAAAGGACAGAACCTCACTGTATGTACTTGCGTGTAGTGAATGTGTGTGTATTTTGGGAGGCTGAGATATGTTCGTGTTTGTCTCCTTGTGATAGCGCGGAACTGATGCCGACTTTATAGTGCTACCTCACTGAAACATACTGCCGAAGACACTCAGCATGACGCCCCACCCGGTCACATTATACTGACAACGGGTGAACCAGTCGTCCCACTCCTAATTTGCTGAGCATTAAGCAGGAGTATAAACTACCATTTTTAAAGACTTTTGGTATGTCTCGGCCAGGGGACAGAACCCAAAGCCTTCCTCACATGGGCGAACGCTCAACAAATGGCCAAAGGTGAGGCATTGTCAAGGGAGATATTAGGAAAAAGAAAGTTATTTAGAAAGGAGAGAAGAGATAAGCTCCCAAATTTAGTCGCCTCTTACGATCATGCAATTTTGTGCAGCAGGTACAATTCTTACGCCCTACCTGCAGGGCAGGCCCACAGTATTTACTGGCCCCTCCCTACAGAAAGGATAGAACCACACCGTATGTACTGGCCTATCCATACAGAAAGAATAGAACCACGCAGTATGTACTGACCCATCCCTAAAGAAAGGATAGAGCCACACAGTATGTACTGGCCCCTCCCTACAGATAGAACCACACAGTATGTACTGACCCATCCCTAACGAAAGGATAGAACCACACAGTATGTACTGGCCCATCTATACAGAAAGGATAGAACCACACAGTATGTACTGGCCCATCCCTAACGAAAGGATAGAACCACACAGTATGTACTGACCCATCCTTACAGAAAGGACAGAACCACACAGTATGTACTGACCCATCCCTAACGAAAGGATAGAACCACACAGTATGTACTGGCCCATCCTCACAGAAAGGACAGCACCACACAGTATGTACTGGCCCCTCCCTACAGAAAGGATAGAACCACACCGTATGTACTGGACCACACAGTATGTACTGACCCATCCCTAACGAAAGGATAGAACCACACAGTATGTACTGGCCCATCATACTGGCCCCTCCCTAACCACACCGTATGTACTGACCCACCCATACAGAAAGGACAGAACCACACTGCATGTACTGGCCCATCCATACAGAAAGGACAGAACCACACAGTATGTACTGGCCCCTCCCTACAGAAAGGATAGAGCCACGCAGTATGTACTGACCCATCCCTAAAGAAAAGATAGAGCCATACAGTATGTACTGACCCATCCTTACAGAAAGGATAGAGCCACACAGTATGTACTGGCCCATCCCTACAGAAAGGATAACCACACAGTATGTACTGGCCCCTCCCTACAGAAAGGATAACCACACAGTAGGTACTGGCCCCTCCCTACAGAAAGGATAGAACCATGCAGTATGTACTGACCCATCCCTAAAGAAAGGATAGAG